CCTGGAAGTGCTCTCCAGACAGCTCCCCCCATCAGCCCCGCCCAAGCCCAGGCTCCCTGAGGTAGGTAGACCCACCTTGCACATCAGCATAGATGTGGAGGACATCGGCCGGGGAGGGGGTGGCTGGTGGTGCCTGCAGCCAGCGCCACAACCAGGGGAGAGTGTGCGATCCACACCAGTGTGCGTCCCTGTGCCTTGGGGAAGGAGGGAACAGTCACGTCCTTTCACTCAGGAGACACCTGGGGGTGCTTCCAGGGCTCTAGCCCCCAGAGCTCCTGGGCAGGCTGCCAGGCTGGAAACATTCAGAGCACCGAATGACAGGTGCTGAGAGTGAAGTGCTCAAGTTCATGGACATGACTCCTAGGAGAGGCTGGGAGAGGGGGTGGGGAAAGGGCAGGGCTCACTCAGGCTTCTTGGAGGAGGTGGACAGCAAGTCCTGGGAGGCTGAGGGCTGGGAGAGGAGAGCCAGGGCTGCAGGAGGCTGGCTGGAGGGAAGGACCCGGCCAAGCCTCCAGGGCGGGCTCCAGGCCCTGCTCACCCCATGGCAAGCCTGAAGCAGGAAGATCTTGGGGCAGCCCCACAGGGCCCTACAGCAGCTCAGCTCCTGCACCAGCGCCTCTGGCTGCACCTCTTACCTATCAGCACCCAGTAGCTGCCCCTGAGGCCCCCCGTGGGCCATCAGGGCCACAAGGGCACAGCTCACAGGGTCCCTGCAGGCATCCAGCCACTCCCAGAAATGGACCATCTCCTCCTGGAAAGTCTGGGGGTGGGGATGAGATCAGGCCTGGGCCACAGTCACGGCCTCCCTAGCATCTGGTGGCCCTCTCTCTGGGTGGTTTCTCTAACCCCCTGCCACACTACCTCCCACCTCCTTCCAGCCTCAGGCCTGGGGAGCAAGTCCTTTTACTTTCTTTCTTTTTTTAAAAATTAAAAAAAAAATTTTCTGGCGGTGCCATGTGGCATGTGGGATCATAGTTCCCCGACCAGGTATCAAACCTGTGCCACCTGTATTAGCAGGCAGATTCTTAACCACTGGACCACCAGGGAAGTCCCACAAGTTCTTTTTCTAACCCTCTGGTTGCATGGCCTCATTGGAAGTGACGTGGGTCCAGCCTCCTGCAGCTGGTTCTCTGGCCCCCCTGGAGAAGCTGCACCAAAAAGTTAAGAGCTGTGAGGGGAGGGCAGTGAGCTGACAGGTGTCTGGGAAGGAACCTGAGACCCTCCCAGGAAAAGCCTGAGGGTCCAGCCAGGGCCTTGAGCAGGGGAGAGGAGAAATGGCCAGTGTGGGGGGCTTCAGGGTCCCTGGAGACTGTGCTTCCAGAGTCAGGGAAGTGGGTTCTGGATGCGTGCAGCAGGGAGGATGGAGGCTAAACTTGGGGGTGCACTTCCTGCCCACGATTGGTAAGAGGCTAAGGAGAGAGTGCCCAGGGTCCTGGTGGGGGGTGCCTTCCTCAGAGCACCACCAGAAGTTCTGGGCTTCCCCTCACCTGGGCTGTAGGGTCTGTCTTCAGGGTGGTCTCGAAGCCCAGGGCCTGGCACAGGTCCCCAGTGCCTCCACATCGGGCTGGGCCCCAGGCCGGTCCTGGGTCACGGCCAGGAGGAGGGCGGCCCTGGCCCCAGACAGGTCACACTGAGCGCTGGGGCTGGGTTTTGGCTACAGACAGGATTAAGGTGGATTCAAAGTGGTCTGAGGACCTCCCAGCTCCTCGCCTCCCTGCCTCAGGTCTCCCGAGCCTCTCTCCCAGTCGAAACTGTTGCCACAGAAAAGCAAACATGTATTAAAAAATAAAATAAACCAAGATAAATGTCAAAAAAAAGAAACTGCTGCCACATGGTTGGACCCCAGCCCTGTCCCGCTAATCTCGAGCCCCCAGAGCTCCACGTCCCCTAGGCACAGTGCCCCCCCTCAAGGAGCTCCCAAAGACTGGGCAGTAGGTAGCCCCTGAGGACTCTTCAGCTGTCCAGCAGAAGACCTGGTGGGGGTTAGGGCCGGAGGACTCCTCAGGCAGCCGCTCCGTGCGGGTGCAGTTATGGGGGAGCAGGACCCTGGCTCCAGGGAACAGCTTGGCCAGGCTCCTGGCTACCACTGTCTCTTTGGTAAGGACTAGTTTGGCGCAGGTGGCGGCGTGTTAGAGACCCTAACCAGACACTAACCCTGCCAGACACTAACCCTGCCAGAATGGAGGGAGGAGGAGACAGACAAAAGAAAGGGAGGGCCCAAGGGGGGTCTTAGTTCAGGCTGAATCACAGGATTCCCAGGACATGGATGGCCTCAGGTAGACACTGGCTGCACCATTAGCCATGCTGTTCCCCAGGGTCCAGGGATCAGCGTGCACAGAGATGGGGCGCTCCCAGAGCGGGTCAGGGCCTGTCTGGGAAGGCTCGCAGGGTGGGCACCGCCTGGGGAGGCCGGGGAGAACTGTGGAGCAGAGCTGGGGCCCATTCTCACCTCCAGTGACCACCCAACTGCCCACTGAGACCTTTGGGCCTCGGGACCAGACCTGAATCATCCCCAACCCTGGACCCCAGGGACCCACAGTCTGACGAGACAGTCACTGCCAGGTAAGTGTGAACAGGGGTGGATGGGAATACAAGTGTCAACCCAGGGATTGTAAGGGGCATGGTTGACGCCTGGAAGGGTCTGTGTGAGGCTAGGTCGAGAGGGAGGGATGCCAAGCAGAGGGAGCAGCCTGGGCAAAGGCACGGAGCTGAGAAGATACTGCAACGTGTGGGGGACCCTGAGTGGGTTGTGAGGACGGGCGTGGGTGGGGGTGGGAGGCGAGGCTTTGAAGCTGACACCCATTGCAGGCAACACGGCCTTATGTTGTGGAATGAATGGGTGGAGGTAATGGGTTCAGGACAACACAGCAGAGCCACAGCCCCCCTCCTGGACGCCTCTTCTGGGCCTTCACCTGGTCAGCAGCTGCAGCAGCGACCAGTGAAGACGACGGCCACAGAGCTCGCCCAGGCCAGTGAGGAACGCTCCAGGCTTGGGGGTAGCTGGGTGGGGAAGCAGCACACAGGCCTGGAGGGAGGGTCTCAGCCCTCCTGCCCACCCCCCAGACCCGCTTTGCCCTGCCCCGCAACTGGGGGTCCCTGGCCAGCCCACTCACCCCCGGGGGGAAGTGGAGAGCAGCAGGAAGACTTGGGGCAGCCCCACCAGCCTCACAGTGGCTCAGCTCCTGGACAGCTGCTGGGGCTGCCTCAGCTGCTCACTGGGGGCCACCAAGGCCAGTAGAGCACAGCCCACAGGGCCCCCGTGGGCATCCAGCTGCTCCCGGAACCTAACCAGTTCCCCATGGAAACCCTAGGGCAAGAGCGAGTGCTGGGCCTGAGTCCAGGGAGGCCCCAGGTGGGACTGGGGGTGGAGGTGGGAAGAGGCAGGCGAGGGCTCACCTGGACCAAGGCCTCCCACCTCTTGCAGCTCTCAAAGCCCAGCGTCCGGAACACACCCTCCAGGACAGCGAGTGTAGAGGCTGACACCTCAGGACTGCTGAGTGACAGGGTCACCCTTGGACCCTGCCCACTGTACTTACCTTGGGGAGGCAAGGCCAGAGTCGGGCCAGGGTAGGGCTCAGCTGGGAGCCAGCTGGGCTGGGTCAGGTCGTGCCTCCGACTACCTTTCTTCCCAGGCTGTCCCGAGCATCTGCCATCTGCGAGGCCACCTGCAGGGTCCCAGACACCAGGAAAGCCATGGGGCTATGTGGGGGTTTCCTCCAAGCACAGAGTTCACCTCCCGGGCCCAGTGCCAATGCTCTTGGTCCCAACCCTTGGCCTCTCCCTGAGTCCCATCCTATCAGCTCTGTTTATGAGCTGAGCTGGACCCTGTCCCCTGCCCTGGAACCCTGCGTTCTGGGCCCTACGACCCCAGGCCCTGCTCTGTTCCCTGGCTCCAGCGGGCTGCTTCCTGGCTGGCACTAACACGCCCCCACCTGCACCAGGAGCCTGTATCCAATCCTATTCTTAGCTCCTGGCCCACCTGCTACCTGATCTCGTTACACCCCAGTGTCTCCCTTCTGAGCCAGCCACCAGCACCAAAAAAATTTGTGCACTGCTCCCGCCACCCATCACCCCTACTCACTCATTCAGGGCACCCACACGCGTGCACGCACACACACACACACACACACACACACACACACACACACACAAACACAGAGCAACTGCCAGCCTGAGGGCATGGGGAGCAGTGAAGGGCATCATCCCAGAGGTAGAAACCCCGGGCTGGACTCAGCTGTCCAGTGAGACCCCGGCAGCTTCATCTGGGAAATGGGGTCTGTCCAGTGACCTCAGGATGAAGCCCAGGTTAAATGGGGGTGCAGAGAGGCTGGCACACACACACTGCGGGACAAAACATCTTGTCTCAGCCCGCCCCCACTGCCTCTCAGGTGGCCCCTGAAGCCACCACCTGGTGAATCAGAAAGGACTCAGTGGGGTAGAAGGTGCTCTCAGCACGTGCCTACCAGCTCCACAGGGCCCAGCCTGGGGATGGCGGGGGCAGGGGGGTCAGATGTGAAGGGCTGGGTGGGGATGGGGCATGGCCCATTTTGACTCAGCAGCACTCTCTCCCTAAGGGATTTGAGCACAGGGTCCAGCTTAGTGCTCCAGATCCTCTATGGGCAGCATGAGCCACCACCCTGACCAGTCACGGACTCTGAGCCTGGTTCCTCATTTCATCAAAGGGAGAGAGGGAGTGGCCTCGTAAAGGCCCCACTCCCAGTCAGCTCCCTCACTCTCCGGCTGAGTAGGGAGGGGTGCCACCAGCTGTCCCATCCTGAGCTGTCCTCAGACTAGGACAGGCACTAGCTGACAGGAGGAAGGACCCAAGGCTCATGGCAGCCCTTGGGGCCCAGGTGACCTGGAAGCCAAGAATGTGGCTCCACCTGATGACCATCCAGCATCACGTGCCACTGTGACCACCAGGCCAGGAGGCCCCGGGGTACGAATTCCAGGTCCCCCCAACCCCCAGCAGCCACCTAAAGAACAAGAATAGCCTGGAGAAAGTTTTCATGTTTATTCAACCTTTCTGCTGCCCTTTGAGGCCAGCTGGGCCAGCTCCTTGGGAGGGCCTGTGGTCTGTCCCTGTGAATGCCCTTCTGCAGGGAATACAGCGCCTCAGGAGTTAGTGACAAGGTGCTGATGGAGTGCTAGTGTTAAGTACCATAAACCCCGAGACTCCAGGAGACTGGGGAGCAGTGGGGGCAGCGGGCCTCCGCTGGCCCTGTTCTTGGTCTGCACAGTTGGCCTCTGTCCCTGGAGCCAACACCACCCTCCCCAGACTGGTAGAGGGTGACTCTTGGGAACTCAGCTGGGGGCAAGCTGGCTGAGGGCAGAGGCAGGCAGCTTGCATGCTGCTGGGACAGCGCAGAGCGGTCAAGGTCTGGAAATGGGAAGGGGTGGAGGCCAGAAAGCCCCTGTGGCTGCACCCAGGACCCAGGTCCTCATGGGTGTGGGCTGACTGACCCTCCCAGAGCCCAGCAGTACCCTAAGGCTTAGCCTTCACCCCCGTGGGAAGGCACAGGATGGCAGGACAGGAGGCCCAGCTCATAGACCCAGCCGAGAAGGCTGGGAACAGAGAGCGACGGGGCCAAGCAAGGCTTAGGGGGTTCTGGGATGGAGACCCCAGGCCTGCCCGAGTCCTCATACGTCCCTGTGCCCCAGCTTCTCCCCTGTGCTCACGCCACCAGCCTGGAATGTGCCGGGGCTCCAGGAAACCAGGGGGCAAGAAAAACCCCAGAGCAGTTAGGGGCATGGCCACGAGGTCACAAGGGATTCCATGCCTGGTGGGCGTTGGCCAGGTCCCCAGGAGGTCAGGGCTGATGGGTTCTGCACGTGGGGGACCCTGCAGTCCTGCCGGCAGCGGAGATGGTGGACTGGGCCGGGTGGGGACCCTGCCTGGGCTGCCCTTCCGGCCCTCACCCCACAGGCTGGGCCATCTTGGCGTGCAGGCTCTGGTGGGCGATGAGGTGGGCGCGCTGCTTGAAGCTCTTGTCGCACTCGCCGCAGCCGAAGGGCCGCTCGCCCGTGTGCACACGCCGGTGGTCCAGCAGGTAGGAGCGCAGTGAGAAGCTCTTGCCGCAGTCACTGCAGCCGAAAGGCTTCTCGCCCGTGTGGATGCGCTGGTGGTCGGCCAGGTAGGCACTGCGGCTGAAGCTCTTGCCGCACTCGGAGCAGGAGAAGGGCTTCTGGCCCGTGTGCACGCCCTGGTGGCGCACCAGGTCCGAGGAGCTGCGGAAGCTCTTGTCGCACTCCTGGCACTTGTGCGGCTTCTCGCCCGTGTGCGTGCGCTGGTGGCGCGCCAGGTCAGAGCCCCAGCGGAAGCGCTTGCCACACTGGCCGCAGCTGTGCGGCTTCTCGGCCGCCAGGTCCCGGAACTGCCGCCGGCGCGTGGGTGGCCGCCCCCGCCGCGCCCCCGCTGCCCGCCCCCGGGGCACCCCCGGCCGGGCCTCGGCCTCCTCCAGCCTCCAGGACACGGTCACATCGCCAGCAGCCTGGCCCGGGAGCGCCGTCACCACCTCCTCCAGCCGGGATCTCTCGCTGTGGCTCGTGAGTCCCAAACCTGCAAGCGGGGAGGAGGCGGCCTCTTCAGTGCCACGCGGTTCCAGGGACAGAGTTGAGGGGAGGCAGAAACGAGGCTCCCGGCCAGCGCCTGGGGCTCAGGTTCAGACAGCCCTGGGCTCCAGCAAACTCCAGCCTCAGCTTCCTCCTCCATGGAATGGGGACACGAGAAAATGACGACAGAGAAACCGTTCAGAGTAAGCGGCAAGGGGCTTGCTGGGCGTCTCCAACAGAGGCACTTACTAACTACAGGGCTAACCAATCTACACCCCCTTCCCACACTGCGATCCAACGTCCCACCCCAAGCCCTGCCTATTCAAATGCCAAAACTGCATAGACTGAGGTTATCTATAAATGATCCTAACCCTCACCATTTGTTATCAGCAACCAAGGAACCACAGGGCTCAGCTAACATGGTTCCTCTCGCTACACAAGCTCCTGTCCTCTCAGCTCAAGAACAAATGGAAGTGGATCAGGAGGGATCTTAGCCGGTCCCACTGGGTTGCACAGATTAAATGAGATGATCCCCAAACAGTGCTTAGGAAGGCCCTGACCTGGAGAGAAACCCAGCAGCGCGGCCTCTAGTGAGCAGGTGTCTCTCCGCGCCTCTTCACTGGGCAGGCTGAGGGGGCCTCACAACCACGTTTGCACGAAGTCCCAGCTCCGTCCCTTCAGTGTCCTTCAACCTCTCTGAGTCTCAGGTCCCTCGTCTATAAACGTGCACACGCTTTCATGCGGTGGGTTGTGAGGATCCCATGAGAAAATGCCTGTACCCGCGCTCAGCACAGTCCTGGCATGTTGCCCATGCCATCACAGGCAGAGAAAAGTGAACACCAGCACAAACGAAACCTCCGGGGGCTCTTAAAGAGACGCAGGGAAAGCCCTCTTTGGAGCCAGCTAAGCCAGGACTTGGGAGGAAGACTGAGGATTCCAGCAGGGTGTGCAGGGGTGGGGCCTGACTGGGCCCACCCATTGCTGCTGGGACTCCAAGGAGGCGAGAGCCTCCAGCTCAAAAGAGCCAAGGACGCCAAGGCCCCTCGCTGTGCCCACTGCTTACCCAGGGCAATGTTCTGGGAGTTCTCCCTTTTTATGTCCCAGAAGAGATCTCTCTGAGCAGGGTCCAGGGACCCCCATTCTTCCCGGGAGAAATAGAAGGGAATGTCTCCAAATGTCACAGGTCCCTGGAATGAGGTGAGAAAACCCAGCTCAGGGCTGCCCTGCTCAGGACTCCCCAGACAGTCATGGGCAGAGACATGAAGGGGGATGGGAAACAGGACAGGTCCAGGCCAGAAAAGGATGGATGGAAGAGGCCTTGGTGAGAAGGCATGACCCATTACAGGGACTCATCAGCATCAGAGGGGACAAAGGAACTGGTAACTCACCCCAGAGTCAAAGCAGGTATCTGTCGTCTCTCTGGTGCTCCCCTCTTTAAGAAGAGCCGGAAGCTGGGCTGCAGGGAAAGAATGGAGCCTCAAAGAGGCCAGCCCAGGCCGGGAGTGAGATCTCGCAACTCTCCTTCACACACACACGTACACACCTTGCCTTCTCAGAACAGAAATACCCTTCTTGCTCCCTTTAGGGCAACGTCCAGGAAAGACCCAGGCCCCTGTCCAGCCACTCTGCCACCTTCAAGTTTACTCACCACCATGGCTGTGCTGCTCCCAGGGTACAGGTGGCCGGCTTTGTGTCCCTGCCTTCCGGGGAGGCCCCTGGGCCTGAGATCCCTGGACTGCAGCCTCAGGTTCCGCCCCCTCTGAGGGCACATCCTGTGCAGGAACCACAACATGCTCATCAGCACCAAGACCAGATGGGGGAGACAGAGTTTAATCCCTGGGAAGGAGACACAGGACACATCCCTCAGGAGGCTGGGTGTGGGGAAGAAGGTCAACACGGGGCCCCAGGAAAGACCAGATGAGAATGTGACACCAGGCAGTGCTATGTGCCCAGGGACACTCCCCAACCAAGCGTGAGGCAAGAACCAGCCCCCAAAGGCCAGAATCAAAGAGCCACTTAGCAAGGGGCAGTGGGGGGAGACCTTCCTGTCAAGAGCAGAACCCCACACCCCCACCACACATTAGCATCTCCCCAGACGCTTCCAGTGTCAAGGACCCAACACCCCACAAGACAGCAGGGTTCACAGGGACAGCTCTACCTTCTCACACCCCCTTTGGTGCTCTCACTATGCACATCACTGTATCCCCAGGGCCTGGCCTAGAGCAGAACACAAATAAACGTTTGCAGAACCTGTGGAGCTAAAACCTGCCTTCCTGGAGCATGCCCACTTTGGTCCTGCTGCTGCCCTCCAAAGCCACCAAAAGAAACCAGATTCACTTGGACAGTGTCTTTCAGAAAGGCCACACATTATGACAAGCTCCTGTGGACACTCCCTCTGGCTCTCCACATCCTCCCCCACCCCCAACCCCCGCCCCACCCCCTGGAGGACTCATCTCTATAGAGATGGCCACCTCTCCTCAGTCCAGGTGCTATCCAGGTGCCCCTGGATGCGGGAGGGGCCCCTCACCTGTGGCCAAGCTTTCACTGGCTGCTTCTGCAGGTCCTCCACCAAGGCAACAGCTTCCTCGCCACTCCCTGGGCATCGTTCGCATACCCAGCCCTGGACGCCCACGGGCAGCACGCTCAGGAACTGCTCCAGCACCAGCAGCTCCAGGATCTGCTCCTTGGTGCGCAGCTCGGGCCGCAGCCAGCGGCAGCAGAGCTCCCAGAGCTGGCTGAAGGCCTCGTGGGGCCCACACGCATCCCCGTAGCAGAACTGCCGAAAGCGCTGGCGGCACACCTCTGAATCCCTGCTGTCCTCTTGCTGGGCAGCGTCCTGCTCCCAGGAGGAATCTTCTACCTTCACGATCAGAAGCCCTTCTCCCTCCCCAGGGGCCTGGTCCTGAGGCTCTGGGGGGGCTGCCATTCCCCTGGCCTAAGGCTCAGGGCTGGTCAGCCTCAACCTGGGCCTTCAATCTCCCAGAGGGATCCCCAGTGGCAGCTGGGTTGGCATCTGGACAGGCACTCCTGAGGAAAGAGCAGAATAGCAGGAGGGGGGCGGTACATGAGCAATCACCAGCCTTGAGGGACATCCAGGGACTCCAGCTCCCTTTCTTCCTGGCCTTGAAGGCTATTTTAGGCTCTCCTATAAAGCCTTGCTCACATGACTCTCTCCTACCAATACAGATCCGCGGCTCCTTATCCTCAGCTCCAAAATCCAAAACTCCCAGGTTTTCACCACCTGGTCTACTGACATGAGATGAGCATATTTATAACCTCAATTTATCTCACTTAATGTAAATGTTCATAGGTTCTATAGGAGAAATATTAATGTATTTGTTCAGTTTGTAAAAATCTATCAAGTTGTACTTCTGATGTATATTTCTGTATATTATTCTTCAATTAAAAAAAATTCTTTTTAACTGGGAATTCCTGGAGGTCCAGTGGTTAGGACTCTGCGCTTTCACTGCTAGGGACCCCGGGTTCGATCCCTGGGTGGGGAACTAAGATCTCGCAAGCCGTGCAGTGCGGCCAAAAAAAATGTTTTTTTTAAACTAATGTTTTGATTACTGAGTGTTGTACCAGATTGCGCTAGCGGCGTTATTTAATATACAATATATGTATTTTTCTCAAATTTTGTATTTTTCTCAAATTTTGTATTTTTCTCAAATTTTGGCCCCTAGTGTATCAGCAAAGGGACCACAGACACCATCCTGAGCCATTTATCCAGATACACATGAACGTGGGACAGTTATACCTTACTGCTTCTCTTCACAACAGTCCTGAAAGGTCTGTATTTTGGAATATATATATATATGTGTGTGTATATATATATATATATATATATA